CCAGGCATCTCCCTCCTCAAATGGGCATTGAACTTATGTCAGCACTTCAAGGTAGACCAGACTAGGAAACCAATGCCATATACGTCAGAACTACTTTTAGTGTAAAGCTATAGTAACAGAATCTTGCAAGTCTGAAGTCTGTGCTCCCCCCATGCCTTATCTTTGTGTGAATTAGGGAGGTGGTTGTCTGAGATGTTTACTCATGTTACTTTCTTGGCCCAGTCTCAGACCCCTTTTATCTGACCATTGCCTGGGTAGCGGCTCTTCCTCCTGTCCTTCAAGGCCATTCCCTCTGTTCTCTACAACTTACCTACTTTCGAAACATGACTTCTGATTCCCTCCCAAAACCTGATGCAGCCCTGAAGCCCAAAGGCATTGCACCTCCCTGGTAGAGATGGATTTTGATGCCTTGTTCAAGTTTACTCACCCAGAAGAAATAGTTCTTCCATGTGAATGGAAGAACTTCCCACTCAGAAATGTGTTGCTGCTATGAAAGCATGGCCTTAGTCTTATTTTAATTTACTTTAATTTTAATCCAGAGAATTCTGAAGCATGCCCAGAACAAAGGCTGCCTTCAGATACAGCTGCATTTTTCTCACATGTTCTTTGATCAATTCTTTTCATACAATAGCTTCTAATATTGTCTCTTGTACTCAACTCAAACCTCCTAAATGCTGCATGGAGGAGTTGTGGTGTACAACTACACTATTTCATACCAAACAAAAGCAATGAATGCCTTTAGGCCAGTCTTTCAACCTAATCTCCTCCACAGGGTTGTTACTGTGGGGATAAAATGAATGGAGGGAAATCCTCCCCATATATATCTTCCCCCCTGAGATGAGATTGGCTGTACCCCTACTGATTTTCCAGAAATCCCTTAAAATGTGGTTTTGTCAGTAGGCTTGGGAATCCCATGGAAGTGGGGAGCCCATGAAATGGCTTTATTGTATGTAAGATCTTGAAGGTATTCTCCCGTGGTTTTAGTTATAGTTATATTTTAATTGTTTAATTTTTAAAGTTTTATTTTTAATTGTTCTGTTTTATTGTATACCACCCAGAATCACATTCGTGAGATGGGTGGTTATATAAATATGATAAATAAATAAATGCCTCCTTGAACTGCCAGAGGAAACATGGAATAGGAATGCAATCAATCATGCCTGTGTGATCATCCAAAACCTTACAAAACAATGCATAGTCAAATCATTCTGTCATGATTTCATATCTTCCCAAACAAAAATGAAAAAAGGAACCTGTATCTCCCTTATCCCACTGCGAAATCATCTATAAAAAGCTTTAATAATGCAATCATTTTGCCTGAGATGTGGAATCTCAATCTGTAATTGTGGAATTTCCATTTGCAATTCACTGCCTTCTCTGTTCTTTCTTCTTACCAACAGAAATCCATTCAGGGTGGAAAAAAGGGAAAAGAATGCAACACTTTTTAATGCTAGCAATCTTCCTTTTGGAAACACCCTTTCTCTTCTATTTATTTTGATCCTAACCAATTACTCATTTAAGCCAGTATTCTATGATCACAGGGCTTTCCAGAAGCAGCCTCACAACCCAAGATCCTGAAGTGGAGAGAGGAGAGGAAGAACCTGGGAATGTTTACATTCCAAATACTTGCTTTATTTCTATTTTTATTTCTATGCTATGCATCATGATTCATTTCAATGGTTCTTACCTATTCCAACGTGAATATCTGGTTTCACAAAGTATTGTTATATGAAAGCTCTGTTTACAGGCTGCTTTCTCTTTCTCCCCCTCCACAAGGCAATGCTGCCTTCATTACAGTTCAAAGCTCCACCATTGTTATACTTTTGTCCTGTTTAAACAGCTACAGTATATAATAATTTGTGTAGATGTGTTTGTCTTTTTATAAATTTTAATTATGTATTTATCTGTTTTAATTTGATGTAAACCGCCCAGAGTCCCCCATTGCGGGGAGATGGGCGGGGATACGTCTATGTATGAATGAATGAATGAATGAATGAATGAATGAATGAATGAATGAATGAATGAATGAATAGCACATTAAAAGGGGGAGGGGTTGGTCTAATGTTAAAGAGGTTGCAATGCAGGCTCATCTTTAGAATTGCAACCTATAACCAGGAGGCCCTGGCCTTACTTTCAGAAAAGACCTGAAGGAGTCTCTGAAATAGATTTTTCATAAATAGATGGATTGATATGGCCCAGCTAGGTGGAAACATCTGGCAACCTGTCTGGGTTGGGAAGCTAAAGAGGGGTGACCATGCTTAAAGTTGGCTAGGAGAACTCTAAGAAATACCAGAGTTATAGCTATGGAGGTTGAAGAACATCTTAGGAGAAAGCAATGACAAACCACTTCTCCACTGCAGCCAAGAAAACCACATGGACATATCTATGAAGCAAGAGAATCAAAAATTGACCACCACCCTTGGGGACACTGCTGCCATGAAGTCACCAAGAGCTGGATTCAATATAAAGGAGACATTACATTTTTAAGACTGATACTTTAGATCACCACTATAACACTTTCTCTTCTTCACACATTCAAAAATGTATTACATTAAATCAATTATGGTTACTCATGATTTCCTGAAGCTAAACAAAGAGAAATGATGGTTCGCAAATCACAATGATTGGGGTCACATGTCACACGAATGCAAAATTAAACAAATCACATTACACCTTAGGGGAATTACCCTACCATATCCTTCACATGTACACCAAGACTGAGCAGCTGGAACAAAGACAGTGAGATTGCTTTTACTCTGACAACTTGCTTTCATTTCAGATTGGCAGGGGTAGGGAGTGGGGAGTGGTTTCTTTTTCTCTCTACTTCCCAGGGAAATGCAACAGACAGAGGGATAGAAATAGATTCTATCCTAGGTCAGTTGCTGGCCTAGCTTCTGAACTGGGCAAAGTGAATCTGAGCCAGGACTGAATTGTTGGGGGGTTTTTTTTGCTCTGGAAAGCTGCTCCAGAAGGAAATGCCAAGGGTAGAGGTGAAAGAAGTTGGTATCTGGAGTAGCCCAGGGCAGACAAGTTATCCTGCATTTTTTTCTACAAGTTTTCAATCAGTTTGATGAAGGACTATGTGATTTTGAAATTTCTTTCAGGAGAAGAGAAGTTTGTTTTCTTCCTGTTTGGCAGGGAAGACAACTTTTAAATAACTTCAAGCAGATTTCAGCAGAACATTAATCA